CTGATCTTTGTTCTGAATAATATAGGTGGCAGTAATGGGGCTAGTCAGGTAGTTTATTCCCACATTATGTCCTTCCAAGCTGGATCTGTTTTCTCCAGAAATCTAATTTCTATGTATCAGTGATCTACGTATAAAGGTGTTATGATGGCGTGTTTTGTTTGCAACTTTCTTTCATAGAATCGCTCTTTTATGGTATTTACCACGTAGTCTGTGATAATGCTCTGTTTCCCACGGGCCGGGTTCCCGCACAGAATACCACGTCGTCCATACCGGTAAAGGTATTAACTCTGAATAAATGTCCCGTCCTTAGAAATTGTATAAAAACGAAACGACTATAGTATTGTGTTTTTCTTAGTAAACTAATAGAGCACTACCCACAGTGGCCTTCTCCATACTTACTTTAGATTCGACTTGTTAATCATGGTCGCTGCTGACATAAGTTGTGACGTTACGAATGACACTGAATCGTGTTTTTCAGGTTTAAGACGAAAGGAGCTTGATTGAAATTCGTCGTATTATTTTATTTGACAGCGGTCGGTAAACACATTTTCAAGGAATCGAGGAGCGCTTATTATCTTTCAAGCTTCTTATACAGTACAGTATTTCTTACGAAAACAAACCCCACCGTGTTTCAAATAAAATGTTGACTTCTATGAAATCTGGTCTCTTTTACCTTATATGGACTCTAAGTTTACCCTAGCTCACACGTGACAAGTTACATCACTGTTCTAATTCTGTCCGCTGAATGAGGCGTGCGCATGCAATAATAAGTCAATCTTTCATGCAGCATTTCCCACGTATCTTTGTAGATTCATGAAACGGCCGTATGGTCAGGAGTTGTTATTCCATTTATTGTATGACGATTCTTTATTCAATTATTTTGGCCACCTCGAAGCGAGATCCCCAACTGCCACTCGTTATATTCATAACCGTGATTCTTTGATTTTTTAGAACCATATTTTCGCAAGTTTGCCTTTTGCAGTTTCTAGTTTTCGTGATGATAGGCCTATATGCACGCCCAAGAATTTTTGCTCTGTACATTTTGTACCGAGAACGAACGAGGCCTTTTCAATTTTCATCTTGCAATCTTTAGTAGTCGCTTTATCAAGAAAAAAGTGCATGTTGTTATTTTTTAGGGTTTCTCTCAAAATAGTGCATTACATGATTGAAATAGCTTTCAGGTCAAGGCCATGACAACGGTCTCTAAGTGACGCTTGTGACGTAGTTGTTTTGTATGGAACGCAAAGCGTTACAGCTTTTGTGGGAATAATATTAGTGCATGTACACAGCATATCGTCAGTATCATATGATTCTAAATAATCCAAATATCAAACTTGGATCCGGTTTCTTATGTATCTTTAAATAGATCGGATGTTTTATGTGACGTAGGCTACTGACGCAGCAAAAACGATTGGAATTCTAATTAGAAAGGTTTGCGTACTTCCGGTGTAAAAATCAAAGTTTTACGTTGCAACATGGCAGCTTCACTAAAAAAGAATACACGACTTTTGAGAACACTTCGAAAACCACTTGATTGAAATCACTGCTCCCTTTATAGATCGTTGCTGTAGGAACTGAATACTGGACTCCCTGAACTTACAGTTACTCGGTCAATCCGGTTACCTAGGTTACCTGTGAATAGATATCAACTCGTGACAGATTTATCGGTCAAATACGAGCTCAAAAACCTTTGAAATGTACGACTTCTTGTCAATAAAAGAATGACGAATTCAGTGTCGGTACAGCGCCCCTTGTCATGTTTTGCAAATTTGACCCGAGTCGGTAATCATATCAACCATTGTTGCTGGAAATAATACAAACACTGGACCTCTGGTTATAAGAAATTGACATGTACATGTAGTTCACAATGTCAAGGAGTTTTAGCCTGTGTGTATTTTGTGTCCAATTTCGTTGGGCTCGCCTCTGTAATTGCATGTCTAGTTGATGGATGACCCGGCGGGACACCGCTAGATTTGTGGGTTTAATGGAGACGCATGCTCCGTGGCACATTTCAACGTGCAGCAAGAATAACGCTTGTCCTATCATTACTCTGTGTTTCAAGTCACAAGGCATCACCACGGCACAGCAAAGATGTCGTTATTTAAACATTAAGTTAATAGAACATTAAAGTCTGTCTTTGTGGACAAAAGATAATTATGTCCTTTAGACCAGATTCTTTAGGGGCTGATTGTGGGGCGAGTCGGTGATTAGTGGTGTATACAGTCAGAACTGGATAGGCTTATCGGCCTACGTAAAATGATGTGCATATTACGATTGCTAACTCTGTCAATTGTAGCTCGATGTTGTTTGAATTCACACGAAATTTGACCACAAAAGGACATCGTACTATTTATATGTTCAAATGCAGAAACTGACCTGTTATTTAATGAGAGTTAAAAAACGCACCGGATCAGCAGGTGGTAGAAATAACAACCAGCGCTTGACAATAGCCGTACGTGTTCCGCAGGAAATAGAAATTATTAAATTCGCGATGTACAAATGTAAAACCTGAGTATGAATAAGTTATTTTCTAACTGTGTGATGAATATTTTCCTGTTTTCACTTGTCCTGGGTCGTGTACTTTATAGTACGTTATCTGTTTGTTTAAATGCTTTTTGGAAGTGTGAGAAATATATCGCCACCTTTGTTATTGTGGACAGCCAAAATCAATCTATTTTTGTACATGCACAAAGTGTACTTCGAGTAGCCGTAGGTGGTAGGAAACATCGATACATTGTAGGTGATTGGTTGTTATAGCCACAAGTGTCTAATGAATTATGCAGGATGTACGTGAATTATGAAGAAGGCACGGAGGAGAAGTAAATCATCGTGTCAAGCGTGTGCACGCCATTGGGTAAACCGGCTTTCTTGTACTCTTAAATCAGTAGCACGGGAAAGGCAGCAAGAGGCGAATGTCAACCAACGAAGAAAATTGGGTATGGGGGGAAATGCTTTCTTTCAAAAAGAAGGAACATGATCGACCCCCCCCCCCCCATCTTGCTGTCAGATTTGGATTACGAGTGATGGTGTCCAAGGACACAGCGTCCAAAGAAGATTTTCATCTCTTCAAAGTTACATAGAATGTATAAATCCAATTCCCCCGTCTACATGGAGAATTTGCCCTGACTTGTTCCTGTCGTAACACAACAGCTGAACTGTGGACTTGTTTTCCGCTTTCATTTTGTTGCTGACTGGAGATGTGCGAGTATAAACTTTGACCCCTAGACCTGTAAATCAAAATACTTCTGACGTCAGTAGGCAATTCCCTGGAAACAGGTTATTTTTAGTCGCATGTACCACTCTTGAGGATTCCGTTGGCTTTGGAGTGCCGAAAGTATTTTCGATTTAAGAATTTTTTTTATAGTAGTATAAATTTCGTTTAGTCTGTAAAAAAACCCATTAAAACGTACTGAATTATGATCTACTCAAAACTCGTTGAATGGGTGCAAATGGCAAGATAAATTCAACTTTTTGAACACAAGGGGGGAAATGGCATGTCGCTTACCACACAACAATCTTATAACATCATTAATATATGTACATAATATAACGTGTGGGAACAATGATCAACAACGTGTACGTGTCGGTTTATTTAAGACAAAAGCTAACACATGTAATGCCTGCCTGACACTCATTAGCACGCGTTGAGCGTATTACACGTCATAATACAAGATTCGTTTTTGGCATCTTCTTTTGAGTGTAAAAGCAAATGTACAGCTCTATTTTCAAAGGTAGTGCCTGACCTGTTGCCATGACAATAATATTAAGTACACAATGCTTTGCCTAATAATTGATTTATAACCATCGTGTGGGCATTGTGGCACAGGATAATAGTTGAGGTCAGGCTGTGTAAGTCCGTACTGCATAATGGATGTTGCCCTAAGTTCTCGCTTTTCGTCGACTGTTAATACCCAAGTTATGTAGGCCCCAGCAATTTTAGGGGGAAAAGTCCAACTATCATAGTTCCAAAAGAAAAAAGCGACATAAGACTTTAATTTCAAAACATTCTACTTCTCACTATACAAATATTGTCTGCTGCAGAGCTAATTACTTGTATGTGATTCATAATTATGCATAAGTAGTATTGTTCGGGGAACAATAAAACATGGCATTGCGAAAAACTTTTCAAAAATTGTATACCAACTGTCAGTCGCGAATTAAACACTAAAAAGATAAGTGTGAATGTACATGTAAATGTGTTTTAGATTAATCATTTTCCATGGTAGCATTTATTTTATAAGTTTTTGTGTAGAAAAAAAAGTTTAGAATTATTCAAATGCAACTTTCTCGGAATTCATTATTCATACGCAACTACGTAAGTGCTCTAGGGTGAGTCAACAAGAAAGTGACCGAATTAGAAACAAATATTAAAAAAAATAACATAGAGATAAAGTACGTGTGATTGACTAGTAACTGTAAAGTTTTACTTAGTTTGCATACTCTCTTCTAAAGTAAAAAAATCACAAAATTCAGCTGTCCACCACTGATTTTATCCCGTTTTACGAACTGATGAATACCCATTAAGATCAATGAAACATAAACGTTTTCCCACCTCCATGAATGAACGAAACTTGCAAAGGAAACAGACAAACAATCGCCATCAGTATTTCAGAAAGAAAGATCGAGTAGACTTGTTCTCATATTCATAACACAAAAGCTAACATAGTAAAAATTAATGTCTCAGTCTTGACTCAAATATTTAAAATTTCATTTATATTTGAATGCCTGTGTGTAATCTGTAATTCTCACTCGGCTCAGTAGCTTCCAATGGCATTCCTAGATCCACGGACAGCTTTAAAAATAGGTTCTTTGAGTAAAACATGCATTACTTCTGCTGGCATGGACAAATTTCAGTAATTTTTTTTTTTTTTCAGAAGAGTGGAAGAACATACTCTAGGGAGACATACTTCATTCGTGTATTAAATTTGATTGCTTTTTAAGAAAAAAATCATTAATCCAGGTCACTTTCATTTGACTCACCGTCCCTGTAGATTTAAAGGTATCAAGATACGTTAAGGCACTTATCTTTGGAAATCTTTTAATGGAACAAACCACCCATTTTGTTTGTTTTCGCCACTTTACTTTGTTCCTGGTTTAGTGTCTGCTTTTCTTATTGTTTTACGCTTGCGCAGCAATGTTTCTTAGTCACTGTCTTCAGAAGGTACACGGAGATATCTGCAGGCTTTGAGTTGCTCAAACTGGTCTTGTAAAGTCGGGGTAGATTTTGCAGGTGGTGAAGGCTGCATAGCATCCGGACTGAGATGACTGAGCCGAACGGGGCTTGTTGCTCGTCTGTGACGGGGTGCACCATTAGTGGCACGGGATTGGGATGCATTCAGGAGCACAGGATTGTAAGATGGGTTCTTGAAGATACTGTCTTTATCGAGTCGAGTTAGATCCGCCATATCTACAGTGACACGACGAGTTCGGACCGCTTTGTTGATGTTGGTAGTACTCTTAGCTTTCCTTAACGGAAGGAGGGATGATATAGTCTGCGCTCGCGGTCTGGTAACATTTTCTGCGGATGACCCGTCAGCATTCGATAAGCGTTTGGTTTTGGGAGGATCTGAGGGCAGGCTCTCAGTTGAGGAGTTTAGACTTCGTGATCTTGGTAGGCAAATACTTCTGCGTCTGTTAGAGTTGTGGACGTCGGTAGCTCCAATATGAGCTGATTTGGGTCGAGGGCGTGCCCGTCCGTCAAGTTCGTTCATGGAGCGGGACCGTCGGATACCGCCAGTGTTTGACGGCGGGGATGGGGTAAAGAGAGTCCCGGTGTCTGCTGATTCTGGTGCCGCCGTCAGCCTTTCCCTTTCAGCCTCTTTACGGAAGGAAAGTGGTGGTAGCGATCCACTGCGCTTCCGGTTCTTAGGCAACTCTTGATTCCCCTCGGATCCTGAGGCAGGTGGATTAGGGCGTAATTGATTGGTGTCGGTTGTACCTTGGGTGGGTTGGATGGATTTCTCGTCTGTTGATTTGTCTTCCCACGCCGAAGTTACCTTAATCTCTGGCAGCAAGGAAGCTTTGAGGTTCAAGATCTCCGCCTGCATCTTGCTCTGCTGTTTCTCCAGGTCTCGGAGTTTCTTGTTCAGTTGTTGCTCCTCGATGTTATTGACCGTTTTAGCTCGTGTCATGTCCGTAGTGTACATAGGAGTGGCTACCTTACGCCGCATAGACGGGGTCAGGTGTAGAGGGGGCTCCGACCCATGCTTCGTTTTGACCGAGAGCGTGGACATGTCGACTGGTATAATAATGTTTGCGTGCTCATGCATTGAAATCTGTAAACACGTAAAGCCACAACAGTCGAACACTGGCCCGGATCACAGCATGCCACAGTAGAGCTAGACCAAGATACGAAGACTCCGTGCCAGTTAAGCTTCACTGTAATAGGCGATTTAATTCCCCAATCTTGTCTCCGATGATCTTACTTGTCCGAATGGAGATCTGCCAATGGAAAGTTGTTTATAACTTGCGTCGAGGTATGATTACGTAAAGGTGCTCATCCACAACAAAAAGGAAGTATGAATTAGTAATGTTTCCACTTCTTCGAAGCAGTTCTGGTTAAAGACGGACTGTGACAGTCAATAAGCGGGTTTAACAGCTTATGTGGGTTTACGAACACAATTCGCTCCTTGCGAATAGTTATTGACAAACCTTGTTCATGGATGATCTGCTTGTAACAGTCCTCAGCTCGGAATAGAGTGAAAGTTATCCCATTGATCGATTACATTCGCTGAGGCCACCTGTTGTTGATGATAATAATCATACTCTCATTCGGGTCCTACAATTAACTCTCGCTGTTTGTTCCTGACATGATATCGCCATGTAGTGCTCGTTCGCTGTTGGGAGCGTAGCAAGTCCAACCATGGTCCAACTCAATTCACACGCATTGTGTGGCTGGCTCCGAGGGGGAAATATTCCCGACCGCCACGCACGATCACATCCAGTAACAGTTGACCTGCATGGAGAGATGAGTGATCATCATCAGGATCATGTTCACGGTTCGCAGTGGGTACCAAGTCCGCATTACACCTGATCTCCTTTGCTTGCCAGGGTGTTCATCCCGGCTGTATTGAAGCTAGAACATTTTCGATTCTCTCTTGGCGTCGGGGAGTTCTTGGACCAACGTAGTCTCTGCCGCCGGGGGAGAGGTAGACAGCACTAAGTGATATCGACGTACTGGCGTGGCCACTGCAACCCATACAAGTTTTCTGAATGGGACTAATGTCCACGGCTCAATGAAACCCCTGGATCGCTGCTCTCAACAACGATAGCGATCCATTTCCTCCAATTCTGCTGGACACGCCGAGTTGCGCAGACTGAATGGGGATCGGTGGGGAAGCTGAATTGACCACGGGTCGATTTATTGGATACAACCTTCCTCAGTCATCCAACACGAGTTGAAGACACAATGAAAACCTGACACATCTACCCACACACCCAGCATGAGCCTATCTCTCCCCCTCCCGATGGGGTTGTTCGCCTCTTTATTGCTCTTGCCAAATGGAGTCGTAGGCGCATGCGTAGTTGCTTACAAAAAGGTCACCAACTGGGGCTTTTTCATCCCATGTGATCAATCTACCATTTGGGGTCATACATTTTACTTTTTCTAAAGTTCATGCTAAAATATTCAAAAGCTTAACCGTCAAGTTTGTAAATTAAACAGAAAAACATTATTGATTGAAATACGCCTTAGATTTTTTTTTTTAAAGGGAAATCACTTGACTTGTTTTCTTTATGACTTGAATGAATTAAACTGATTGCGACTGAACCAGAAATGAGAATGACATGTCACCTAAATTGGACTAAAAAGCACAACCAACGATGCAAAACCAAACCACTGAACGTGATTTCCATAAAAGAAGCCGTTAATGTCTGACCTTTAGTGACCCCAAAAGAGAGACCCCAAAAGAGAGCACAGCGCGTTAATGTTTTATTGTAATCCGTTGTTGAGGCTAGGACCCTCGAGCTCTCTGAGGACATTTGAGATTATTTTTATAAGTTTGGGCAAATTTTCGACCAGATGTTGCCACGAACGTTATTGCTGGAGGTGGATGAACTACATTGGCGTTCCGCGGGGAACGGTGGGGGACATTATAGTGGAGAACCAAATATGATGGTAGGGATCGGTTTATCAGCGCCTGTGAGGGCGGTAGATTAGAGCGAATGAAGAAGTCACATAATTGTCACACTCATCAGTGGCATTACTTTGGGAGATTGTAGAGCGCCCTCTACTGACTACAAGTAATTAACTCTGGGTGGGCGTTGGCTTAACTGGTTTAATCAATGAAGCTGCAGTTCGATTTCCTAAATAAATCTGTAGAAATAAAGTACCGTATTTTAAGTGACGAGCAGGATACCGTCTCAGTAAATAACATCAAGCTTAGTTTACTATGACATATGTTTTATCACGTGAGTACGGTGATATATTTTGACGCATGTGTATTTAATAACAGTTCATCGGACACATGTTTTTATCTTACTTCCCAAAGGAACATCTTAATGGAGTTTTCTTTTCAATAAGTGACTAGCAAGGTTTTATCTGTGGAGACGATACATTTTTTCCCGTGAGCAAGAGAGACAATTATGTAATACTGTCAACGGAATAGATGTCCTAAATTATTCATATAGTTGCAGGGGTTCTCCTATTCCTTTCTGCAGGTCATCCGTGAAAAATTAATGAAGTTTTCTCTTACCAGTGGCGTAGCCAGGAATTTTTCAGTGATGGGGGGGGGGGGGGGGGGGGGGCTGGAACATTTCTTGGGGGGGGGGGGGCGTCATATGTAGATCAATGATAATTTTTTTAGAAACTCAAAATCTCAGTGGGGGCGACTGGGGGGGGGGGCGACAAGGTTTCATGGGGGGGGGGGCTGTCGCCCCCCACGCCCCCCTGTGGCTACGCCACTGTCTCTTACACAAGGAATTTTTTTCGTTATAAGACTGACAGCCTGGTGTTTTGGTTCGTCGTCATCTTGATCAACTCCCTACAGGGCGCCCTCATCGGTCTGATGCTTCTCTGAGTGTTAACGTGAGGGCGCTGTGGCGGCAGAAGTTGCTGATGTTCTGCGACGGCGCGCATGCGACAGAATGAAGCTACTGACACCAAAACACGGAATGCAGAAACAGATATTGATGCTTAGGCTCCAAATTACTAGAACCCTTCAAGAACCGAGCGTATAACCACGAGTGAAGATGAGTTTCCCCCAGTCCAAGAAAGGAGGGGGTACAATAGCACCCGCTAGCGACAAATGTTGCCCCGTTTCGCTCGTTCCCAACACCCTATCAGAGGACGATGGTGTAACCGTGATACATTTTACAACTACTTTGTGAAGGAAACGCTAGCTGCAGCATCGTGGACATATCATTTTGCTATAACCAATCTAAGTGTTGACCTCGCAGGTTATCCAATGTATCCTTGATGACAGCTCCGTTTAAGGTCACCAACGCCCTTCGGCGTTGGGAATGAGTGAACCCCCTCCACCCCGATTATCTTATTTGTGACGGCCGGTCGTTCAGTGCTTCACCGTCTTATCCACCCAACCTCATATCCAATCCCCACCCTCTGGACCTGCTATGCACGGTGAGAAGCAAAATGGCGTAGAAAGTGCGTAGTCATAGGAACCAGGTTGAGTACACATACTGTCAGACAGATTTTATGGTTGTTCATGCATGGGACGATTGAAAAACTGAATATACCGCTATTTCAGAAAAAACAAAAACACACGCTTCGTGATGGGTATCATTTCCCTCAATTTCTCTAACTTGAGCGGATGCTTGTATTCATGTTTTATCCGTTCCATCTTTCTCACTGTGGATACGGACAACATTACACCCAAGAAGAATTTTGTAATTTGAAGACATCAGTTTATGTTACCTCGTTTTTCTTCTAATATCTTTTGATTATTTTTACCCGTCATTTTATTCCTTGTATGCAATCACTGTCATTTTCGTAACCTATTTCAAGAGACACCGTATTTCTGTTTAGATTCTATTTAAATTCGCAATTTTACATTTAGTTCAAGAAAAACTGTTGGTTTCCATCTTCAGTTAGTGTATTGCATCACACTTAATTTACTTTGCTTTGTGCATTTTGACGACAAAAACTAACATAATATGCCGTGGCGTAGTTGGTTATGTTACACACTTAAGGTAGAGTTCTAGATAGGGTCTGCATGCCGATAATCTTGTTTTATGAATGTTCAATCCACTGTCAGTGAGGTTACCTTAAGGTAAATTACTAACAGGATGTCTCAAGTATCTACAATGCTGGAGTGTTTTAAATTGTTCCTCCAGACTGGCATCAGACCTCGTTCTGTGAAACTCTTCAGTGGATTCTCCCTGATGCTGTTCTCCGTTGCTTTCGATGCTTTCTTGTGATTTTGTCGTGTCCGATGTATGCTGATCGTTTGAGGAATCACTCAAACACAAGTCACTCAGTCGAAACGCTCTCCGCATGACGCGATGTCGGAGTTCGAAGCCCGTCATTCGCATGTGCATGTTGCTTGGGGTCATTGGGATTTGGTCTGGTGAGATGAGCACAGGGTTTATTTCGGGATCGTTAAAGACCGACTGGAACCCCACCGATGATTTGGCATAAGATGTGACCGGTCTAGTTATGTTGTCTGTTTGGGAATGATTTCGGCCGAAGCAGTTGACGGTACCACTGTTGGGACGTAGTGTCGCTCTTGCATCTCCTGACGCGCTGTTTGCTCTTGATCCTCGACGTCTTGTCGTGATCGGCGAAGGTGGCAGAGACACAGATTTCTTCAAAGGTGACTTGAGGTCAGTCTGGCGAAGTGGGTTGGGACTCGAGAATCTTCGAAGCGTTTGGTTGTCCTTCAGAGATGAACTGAACAAGGCTGAAGTTTCCTTACGAACCTTTAGATGTGGCGTCGATGGCGACTCGGTATCCGGAGAGCCCGGTTGGTTTGGAGACATGGCATGAGGCCTGCACATAAGCCGATGATCTAATGTGATCCATTTGTCATCTGCCCTAGTTGGTGACTTTGACTTTCTGTCTCGTAGCGCGATAGGACCGCGTTGTTTCTCCTCTGCAAATGCCACTCTTTTGACATGGACCAAGGCGCAGTCAGTAACATTGATATCTGGGAGCTCAAGTGGTACTATCTCTCCCTGTGCTGTGGCTGCCCTTGCCGCTTGTAGTAAACCTTTGTCCATCTCGAATTGAAAGAGTTAGCAGTCTAAATATTCATCAAAATACAATAATGCATTGCCGCTTTAAGCCATCACTGTCTTGATTGGTCGATAGTTCCTTTTTGACGATATGGACGTTTGATTCAACAGCTGCAGTATATCTTCGTGAAGCAAGACCCATGTGGAGAACATATGTGGCTTTGGTACTGTAGGCTCAGCCTAGTCACGATTGAGTTGGTATCGTTTCATGTGGGGTCGAAGACCGGCGCCCATCCTAGGTATGGTGAACTCAGCGACCGCGGTACTTGCTAACGACTTTTGAAGTGTTTATCAAAACCACGGTGTTGGTCCAAACTGGCATGCCACAGCTCGTTAAGGTGAAAATGTTATCATGGAGATGTAGTTAATATAAAGATTGGTACGTTCTATTATCCCATTACCAGATATTCAATATGTGTAAAGTATGACAAAACAACTTTATATCTCTATATACAGCCATGCGTGATCCAATTGCACTTTAGATAATGGTATTTTACTGAGAGTTCACAAACTTTATTTCAAATACAGTGTACTTTGTGTCAGTAATTGGTAGTTTGTATTATTTTTCTTTAATTTTGTCCAAATCTTCCCATGATGCTTTCTACCATCCTGAAGACCGAGTTTTGAGCGAACTCGTTAGGGTAAAGGAGAACGTCGCAATAACTTTTCACTTGACGCCATGAAATTTGCATCGCTTTTGGGTGAAATATGAACCTGTCCCAATTATTATCGTAATAATTAAACAAGATGGCCGCATCCTTGGGAAATTTGGTGAGCTCGACACTTGAGATGATTGCATGAGTATAAGTGTGCACCACTCTCACGCGCGGGCTGTATGTTTGTCTAGTTAAGTCTTGTTCTCTAAAGTTTCAATGTGGGCATTATGTATGTAAAGAGTTCTATTTTTAAATTTAAAGGTCGTAAACACAATTCTGGAGTCTGTATATCTTGATGGTATTTTCAGTGCAAAAGTATTTATCAGTGCTAATTCGTGTTTTATTCACATTCTGTCTTTATCAACACGACGGTGCAAGTGCACTTTAGCCCTCTTATCTGTTATTAATCTTTTAATGATCTATAATTCACACAGTACGGTTCTCTGTCATACTAGATATGAAACGCTCTGATATTACAAACATAATTAGATAATTACAGGGCAAAGATTGATTGCCATTATAGGCCAAAGATTAATGTTTGTAAGATAAACAGTGTGAGCCACACGTCGGAATGCACAAAGGAGTACCAGCAGCAAAAAAAAATCACTTAAAGGTACAG